TCGCGGTGACAGCAGCAGTGTCCCCAGGCAGTGGTCCCGCTGCCCTCCCCTGGGTTTGAGCACGTTCCTTCCTGCCCTCCTCCCACAGCACCTCCCACTCTTTAACAACCACTGAAATCCAATCTTGGCCCGGCTTCCATGCACTCTTCAGTTACCACGTCATTGGAAAGTGCTCTGTCACCTGGGGTGACACAGTGTGGCACCGCGCACGCTCCCAGCAGAGCAGATGTCATCAGGCTCCTCCGTCTCACCTGAGCCGTGGCTCACGTCTGCCTCTTCCCGTGCCGGTGCTGCTGCTGGTCTAGCCGTGCTCAGGCGGAAGAGCCAGTGGAGGCTGTTAGAGGTGGAGGGATGCAGCGATGCTGTGGAGGCGCCAAGTGTAGGATGCAGCTTTCTGGGGTACAGACGAGGAAAGAGCGAGGAGAACAGCGGAGGGCCTGGCCCTGCTGTTAGGAGGGGTCATGACGCGGCCCCAGACTCGTGCGAGCCCTGTGTAAGGGAAGACTGACGGATTTACCTCCTCTCTCCCGTAATCGCCTGGCTTCTGGTCACTTAGTGAACTGGCTCTTGGCTCCCTTGGCTTGGTTGTCTCCTCTGCAAACTCAGCAGCAGCTCGGGTGATGCGGGTTTTAGTTCAGCACCTGGGATGCGGGGAAGCAGCATTCCCCGGGAGGCCTCAGGTCCCCGTGCCCTGGCTTGTAGGGCAGCTGGAGGAGCGTTCTCCTCCCGGGACGGTTCAGGACCTGGCCTTTGTGGAGGAAGCGCTTGCAGCGAGACGTTCCCTACCCTCCTGTGAGGTGACTCTGGGGCGGAGTGATGGCAGTTCTGATTTGTCCCGAGTTGTCCTCTGGGCTGCCTCCAGCTCGCCATTGCTAGGAGCCTCCTGGCGCAGGCTGGGCTAAGGAGCTTGCGTCCTCAGTGGCAAGCGCTGGCGTCCAGGCGGACCAAGTCGTGGCTCTTGGGCACTGGAGCTCCAGTGGGAAGTCGGAGCTTCAGCCATGTGTCTCCTTGGAGAGGAGAGCCACGGAGGCTCGGGGTGGCAATGGGTGTGATTACTCAACTGCCCTGTGTACAACCTGGTTGTCGCCATGTCGCCACGGCCTTCCTTGCAAACACCGCTGTCTTCCCCGCCTCAGGGAATTTGGGAAGTCCTGCGTCTCTGGACTTTGATGCTGAACTGGAGGAGACAGGATGGGGTGGAACAGAGCTGGCTCAGGGGCACGTGGGTGGCTGGAGACGGGCTGTGGTTGCATGGCCCCAGCTCAGCGTGGGACTGGTCAGCCTTGGCACTGTCACCCGGGGCCTTGGGGCCAGCGTGGGGCCGGGGCGACCGTGGCCACGCTGACCAGGCAAGATGTGGCTGTGGGAGCTCAAGGTCGGGTGCTTTGTTCTTGCCTGCGGGCTGGTAGGAGGGAACACATCAGCTGGAGATGCTGAGCAAGGACAGGGTCTGGGCTCCTGCTCAGCTGAGGGGTGGCTGTGCCGCCCTGCGGTCCCGGCACGGTGCTGGGGGTGCAGGAGGGGGGGCAGCGCCCTGGGCCCTGGCAGGGCTCCACTGGCTGTGCCCGTGGCTAGCATAGCAAGAGCTCGGTTGCCCATCCAGGGTGGGCTGCT